CCAATTTTCCCGTTGTTGACCAGCGGATTAGATGCGCTACGAATAGGCGTATCGAGGCTGTGGAAAGCGGATGGCGCCAGAGGCTGTGAGAGGAAGGTCGTCTCCGGGGGATTAGATAGCGGACTAGAGGGGAGGACGTCTCCAGATCCCGAATAGTCGCCGCCACTGCAGTCAGCAGACTGAACGTGCTCGCAACAATCAGTTGGTGCGGCAAAAGTTCCACCGCAACAGGGATCAGCCGAAGGAAATTCCTCTGCCATCTACCTAAAGAATATGACAAAGAACTATTTAAAACTATCAAGAGATAAGTGTTGAATATTGCTTCGAGATAACATTCTAATCACACATACGACAGCCATTGTTTACACAACTGTCAAATTAAAAAAATTGCTGTTAAATCAAATACGATACTGCAAAATCACATAACAACCCTCGCCTCTAGGCGACATCAGCTTAAACTGTCAACGCTCGGGCCGTAGGCAGAACAGCTGACAGCAGCATTAGAACCGCTAGACTACTTAACTGCCTAGATGGTTGTCCGAAAAACGGACGCCGACAAGTTTTCGGAGTTCGGTTGCACCCACGTCAGTTCATACCATGAATACTCCAAAAGCATAAGTCAGAAGGATGGAGTTGACGGGAAGTGAATCGGTGGTAGATAGCTTTTGACAGGCTGTGTGGAAGGAAAGGCCAAAATTAAGAAGGATCTATTTCTCGGCATTGATAAGAAACCAAGAACTCCTCCCATGGGGCGGTGGCTAGACGTAGGACACTAGCTATTAAGCTGTACTTAGGAGAGGGCGCGGCACCGGTGACTTTCACGCGAATTAGTTCATAGTGAGACATACTTTCGCAGTATCCACCGAAATCTCGTCTCTCACTCATCTTGCTTTGGTGGCACGACAATGTCAATTTGACCGGAGTTGAGCTCCGACGTCGTGGATAACAAAGATAAAAAGTCCATCTAGTTTCCCCACACACGACCTGGACACCCGCACAATGTGTCCGGCCTTCATGCAGGCGGCTCTGGTTTCACATGCGGCTTGATCCTAAGCTTTGGAAACGACCAATTTATCCCATTAGTTACGAACTTTCCATGCCACGACTCAGCGCGTTGTGGTAGATTCAAGCGAGTCGGATTTAGTATTACTGACTTTCCGTCGGGATGGATTCCTATTGCCGGTCTTTCACTGTCTTCCATCCGACTGTAAACCAGCTGGTGGAGCCTGGGGGCAGTAGCGGACGCGGCGTGAAGGCCTACGTATAAGGCGTATCACACGCACATGTACGGCAATATCTATGGGTTCGCGCGGACTCTGCGCAGCCTTATTAGCGCGCAAAGTGGGTCAGTCTGACTTCCGTTTTTGTCCAGCACACCTGGAGTACAGTCCCTTCTGAAGTTACCAAAAGCACAAACATGCGCATACACGCAGCAATGATGGTGTGAAGCCGGAATAAAGCATGAGACTCAAAAAACTAGCATACATTCCGAAGAGCGCCGAGGAAGAACCCGGCTTCGGAAAGAATGATGGCTTCAGGAGTCAGCGGAAGTTCAGTAACAAAGTGCTTAAGGTACAAACCACAATGGAATATACTGCGTGGGAATGGCAAATCGCGCCACGTGGCCCGCCGCACGTAGCGGCTCCTCCGCTCGGCTTCTGCCCAGGACTCAGCGGCAATCAAACTCTATTAAACGCTTCGACCGACGAGCTTAACTGGATAAGGGTAGCCAGTAAGACTGTGTGAAGGCTGATGGGAGGTAAGAAGTGTTGAGTTTTATCCAGCGATTACCTCCCCGCTACACTAAAGATGGTGGCTTCTAAACTATGACGAGTTTGGAAAACTGAAAACTGACGAGGTAGATTGGCCCCATTTTGGACACTGGTTCACATCACAATGGTTCGTTAAATTGTGAATTGTGATGCAGCCCTCACGCAGACGAGGCAGGTTTGAACGCTTTTTGTCAAGTCAGTCACAATCGTCCGACTATAGCATCCCAGACCTCGGGAGAGAACGATAGAAACTGGCATGTTAACATAAGCCCCTGGCTAAATTCCATCTTATCTGCTACTTTTATATTCCTCTTTTTTAGTTCCAGTACATCGGTTGTAAGATTAATAGGGTATTCACGTCCTGGTTCTTGCATCCGGATTTGCTCGTCCCCTCCATCTTGTGTGCTTGCTACGGTCCTAGCTACAACAATTTATTCATCTTAAAACTCCAGAATGAATCGATTCCTTAGGCCGGAACGATTCAATGTTGATCTGAATGCTCAATACGCTTCTAAACAGTCAAATCATTGGTTTCGCACTTCTGAAAATTTTTTGTCCACGATCGATAACCCGAAACCGGATAAATTAAGCATTCTGACTAACCAAGTTTCTTCGACAGTCTGGGAATGCATTTGTGAATGCTCCAGTTACGAAGAAGCTGTTAATTTGCTGCGAAATCTCTACCTTAGGCCCAAAAACGAAAGTCTCGTCCGTCATCTTCTGGCAACCTGCAGACAGGAAGGTGGACAAACCCTCGACCAGTTTGCTCAAATGCTAAGGTCCTTGGCTAATGACGGTGATTTTAAAGCCGTTGCGACAAAACAAAATCGCGATGATGCCATCAGGGAGGCGTTTATCAGTGGCCTTTCAGTAGACCGGATCCGGCAGAGGTTATTGGAGCAGAAGAATTTGAACTTTCAAACTGCTTTTGATCAAGTAAGGCCACTGGAATTGTGTGTTTGTGACAAGCAGTCGGTTCGATCAGCGAAGTTCAGCAATCTCTCACCATTTTCACATCGGGAGCCAAGCCCAAAGCGGCCAAGAAAATGACTGGTTGTGGGGTCTCCAGGTCCAGTTCGACCATTCAAATCGCCAGCAACAATCAGTAGATCGCGGCGAGGTAGTCTTTCAACTAACGCTTGCAGCTGCGAGTAAAACGCATCCTTATCGCGCTGTTCGGCAGCCGAAGTTGGTGCGTGCACAGAGACGATAGATATGTTCGTGAAGTGACCCTTCAGTCGCACGTAAGCCATCCGGTCGTTGACTTGTTCCCAAGCAAGCAACGCGAGATCCGCTTTTTGCCATAGGGCGATCGCCACACCGTGTCAACCAGAGCAGTCGCGAGAGCGGCTGTGGTACAAGGTAAAGTGTGATTCGACTCTCGGGATCTTTATTTCACGGGAGCCTGAGTCAGGGAGTCGAACTTCTGAGAGACAGCAGACATCCACGTTGTACTGGTAAGGGCTGCGTGCGGTCAGACTTTGGGTACCGGGGTCCAGGAATGTTCGAACATTTCAGCATCCAATACCGAGAGTCCGTCCACGATTGAGTAGTCCAACTCGCATACTATTCGCCCGCACCACTGGACCAGGGTTGCGGAGCGCGTCAGTTCCCGCGGACGCCGTAGCATGGGTCGTAATACTGTGATCGGACATACTTCATGAGGTTTCTTGGGAATCTCGAATACGGGCGGGTCCCCAACAGCCGCTAGGATTGTTTGTTCGAGGTTGTCTCCTCTTGCGCTTTGGCTTAAAAGCCTAACCACAAGGCAGCGGTAGCAAGTAAACTTATTTAATGGCGGTTTACGGTCGCCATGCCACAATGCCGTCATTGGGTTTTGCGGCTTTTTATAAGGCTTTCAGCGTGCCAAACCTCAGCCCACCGTACCCTGGTAGCAATGTCGCTGCTGGTCCGCGACTGCTTATTCGTCAGACCTGGGTCTGCTTATTTCGCAGCCAACCTTCACTGAAGGTCGTCCCACTATCCGCCACCTGTGGACGCGCCGGGTAGCCAGCAGCTAGGCTAATGGAATTGGCAATATGATAATCTCTATCGTATCAGAACCCTCCGACGACCTCATTATCTGTCGCTACCAAGCCATGTGAAACTTGGTCGAGTGCCGTTAAAGAGCCTGAACTAGTGGCTTCTACTTTATTCCATAGCAAACGTTTATTTTGTGGAAACGACAAGCATCGCCGTTCGATGTGTCCCGCACGCGATGGGTTATGCAAAGGATAAGCAAAAAGGACATTTTCAAAAGGTGTGCCTAACATCACGAAACCGAAAAGTCTTCTCTCCCTCTATGTGTTCTACCATTTCCACCGTGGCGTGATCTGCTGTTCCCAAATGTCTTCCAAGAGCAGTGGTTGAATTACAAATAAATGGGACTACTTTTCAGGCTCTAATTGACACAGGTAGTTCTGAAAGTTACATTTCTTCTTCAGTGGTACTCCGAAATAAGCGGAGGGTTTATAACTCGCATTAAGATATCCATGGCCACTACAGCCTTAACCAGCGCTAGGCAATGACATGTTCTTGTCACTTTTAAATATAAAGGTACAATACAGGAGGTCAAGCTGTCGGTCTTGCCGGATTTGTGCGCCGATATTCTACTTAAACAGGACTTCCTCCGACTCCACAAGAGTGTTGAACCCCCCTTTGGCGGACCTAAGTCTACGCTCTCGCCTTTTTCTGTGGCTGTCGCTTGCGTCGAGCCTCCTCGTTTGCTTCCTAATCTGACAACGTACTGCAAACCTACCGCTACTAAATCTCGTAGACACGCCAATATGGATGAAAGATTTATACGAGAAGAAATTCGTCGCCTTCTTAATGAGCGTGTAATTAAGCATTTCTTATCCCCTTGGCAAGCCCAAGTTTTGGTGGTAGCTAATGAAAACCATAAAAAGCGGTGGTTGTCGATTATAGTCAAACGACCAACAGATGCATACTTCTAGATGCCAGCCCCTTTCCCAGAATAGACAAAATAATTGAACGTATAGCATTCTTGATCTCAAGGGCGCCTATCACCAGATATCCATCAGGGTAGAGGAAAGAACTACACTGCCTTTGAAGCTTGTGGGCGTTAATATCAATTTTGTCGTATTCCGTTTGGTGTGACCAACGGGGTTGCGTGCTTCCAGCGGACCATTGACGACATAATTGCACGGGAACGTCAAAAAAATATTTTCGTGGGCAATATCACTATTTGTGGGAACGGCCTCACGGGGCATGGTTCAACCCTTAGAAAATCCCTTAGCATGGAAGTACGGACTAACATTCAATGAAGCCATAAGTGTTATTGCTGCTAGAGAAATCAAACTTCTTGGTCACGAGGTACCCAAGGGCAACGTTAGGCCGGGTCCGGATCGTCTGAGGCCCTTGAGTGGATTGGCTCCTCCACATGATCTTGAGCCTCAACAACGAGCTGTGGGACTGTTTGTTTACTACTCACAATGGATACCTCACTTTTCGGACAAAATTCATCTGCTAATCCGTAAAAAAACTTTCCCTTTATCATTGGAGGTAATTGAAGCATTTGAGGCTCTTAAGGAGGAACTTGCGAAGGCCACAGTGGCCACTTTTCAGCACGATACCCCATTAGTTGTCCAGACTGATAGCTCAGACGTCGCAATCGCTGCCACACTGAATCAGAATGGGCAACCAGTTGCGTTCTGTTCACGTAGCCTTTCTCCAACTGAAAGACATCATTCAGCTATAGATGAAGAAGCATACGCCGCAGCAGAATACATACGCAAATGGAAGCACTTCTCCCTCTGTCATCACTTTAAACTCATCACGGATCAGCGTTCTGTTGCCCTTATCTTCGGCAATCAGCAAAAAGGCAAGGTAAAGAATGATAAGATCGTACACTGGAGGTTGGAGCTGTCACCATTCAAATTTGACATTGTCTACCGACCTGGTAAACGAAATCGAGCGGCGGATACGCTTTCCCCCAATTTCCGTGGTGCCCTACTAACCAGTGTCGATCTGAAAGTATTACACGGGCCACTTTGTCATCCCGGTGTCTCTTGGCTTTCACACTTTGTTCGAGCTCGGGATCTCCCATTTTCGATGGAAAAGATTCGTAATGTCGTCGCTAAATGTCAGGCCTGCTGTTAAGTCAAACCCCATTCCTTTAAAGCATTAGGTCTACTCATCAAAGCTACCAGGTCGCTCGAATGATCGTGACTCGACTTCAAACATTCTCTTCCGTCGGTAACCCACAACCGCTATTTGTTGACGATTAGTGAAGAATATTCTTGTTTCCTATTTGCATTTGCCTGTCCTGATCGGACTACCAAAATTGCCATTAAATGTTTGTGCCATATTCTATACTCCTTCGTACTTCCACACCGACCGGGATCGTCATTTGTCACACGAAGTTCAGCCATTCCTTTGCAGTAAGGGAGTAGCGACGAGTAGGACAACTCTGTACAATCTCCAAGGGAATCGGCAGGCCGAATCTTTGAACAAAACTTTATGGAAGACTCTTACTTGCTCTAAAATTCCAAAATTTGCCCGTCACGCACTAGGAATCCGTCCTACTTGACGCTTTACACTCAATCAGATCACTTATGTGTGCTGCCACTAATGCGACACCTCATGAGAGAATGTTTGTCTACAACAGGAGGCCAACTACTGGGACTACTCTACCCATGTGGCTTTCCTCTCCTGGTAGAGTTCAGCTGAAAAAAAGCAGTCAGCAGTCTAAGTCTGATCCGCTCGTTGAGAAGGGTGAGCTGCTCCAGTGTGACCCCCTATATGCTTATATACGATTCAATAATGGCAGAAAAGAAACTGCATCTTCTCGACTACTTGTTTCCAGAAGTGAAAGAGATATTGGTGATTGTCATCAGGAGACGGCCACGCCACGCCATCCCATTTTCCCCTGATCACCCACCCATTATTGAGCAGGAAAGCAGCACCATTCCAAACGACGAGTAGTATGATGCAACACCTGGTAATGCACCTAACGCTGACGATGTCCGTATGCATAGCTTAGAAACGTTGATCCAACAATAACGTGTTCATCCAAACTGGCTTCTTAACAGAGACGAAAAATACATGTAAATTTAGGATAAAATAGGATTTCCGTGTGTATGTTTTCTGACTCCATATGCTGACCTAGGAGCTAGTGCTTCCTGGCCTACATCCGCTCGGATGGATACCTGCAGGCATCCATCCGGATTAAGAATGTGAATGCGTACTATGGCTGCGACAGATGTTAAGAGAGAGTACGTAGATAAGACAGTTTACGATAGTGTGTCTGAACATGCTAGGACGGATGAGGATTTCTTATCCGCCACCGATGACTGCCACCGCATTGGCGTGTCGCCACTGCTGGCATGCAATGTAGTAATGGTTAGCTCCTTCTCTCTAGATCCTTTAAATATGGTTTACCTGAACGTTATGAGACGACATCTGAAAGTTTTATTTCGCAATTTCCTCTAGATCCACTGCACCTAATTTACTTAGGCGTAGAGAAAAGGTTGCTCAGTTTGTGAGTTGAAAGTCATCGTTCAGAGGACAGTGGTCGCACGATGCCGTCAGTACTAAGACAGTGCAGGCGAAGACTGTAGACAATAGGTTACGTTCTTTAAACACACGTCTTCCATCAGAATTTTTTCAAAGAACGGCTGGAAAGGTCATTGAACAGTTACATTCGAATAAAAAATAAGAATCAAGCTAACAAAGAATCAAATGGTAAGTCAATTGCCGTTTTCCGAGAAGTAATTCTGACTTATAGACAACAGTGCCGGACCGTCAACCGACTGCTAACCTCCTCCGGCAGAGTGAACACGGATGAACAGCAAGAAAAGGATGTACATATTTGCTTATTTTACTATTAAATAAAATTATTCCGAAAAAAGTCTCAAAAGTACGTGAGAGATAGTAATCGCATTATATTGCTCTAGGGAGCAGGGGAGGGAAAAACTTAGGTAAATCGGGATGACCTGGGGGTAGAAAGTGGTATTGGTTAAAGTAAACGATTTCAAGCGTACCATATATGGTGCAATATATATTATACCCCATTTTCGCCGTCGGCGTAGTATCTCCATAAACTGATATCTGATAGATATCTATACTTGCGACAAAGCAGATATCCAGTCGATATATGAATCTCGACCGACAGATACCTAATAGATAACTACTCGATATAGTTTGCTAGTAGGGTGATCTTTAGCCCGGCCTAATATCAGACTCAAAAACTGCAAATGGGAGGCCGTTATCGGTGTGAAAGCTCAAAACCAACTTGTGCAATTCAGTAAAAATAACGGTCCTCAGATGAATGCTTGAGGATCAGCACTGTAGACTCGCACTACTGCAGTAGTTCCCATATATGGGAATGTGGCATCAGAAACACGCCTCTGGACGGCACGGTCAGTCATAGGAAATCTAATCTCCTTTAGGATGCTGGTTGAGGGAAAGACATAGGTTAAAGTTACCAATAACTAAACTATTATTTAGGCTCACGAGTGTCAGATTCCAGTGAGCAGTTCAGGCAGACAACCGCAAGAATTCCTACAGGGTTGTTTGACGCCGAAGACGAATGCTATTGGTTGTCGTAGACCGTTCGGTGATTTGTTATTTTGAAGCGGTGTAGCGGCCGAGGACGTCAAGGGTAGCACACACCAGATTAAGAGAACGTTGATAGTAGATCCTGGAGGAGAGTAATCTGAACAGAGTCGTTAGCATCCCTGAATACTCATTCACGCGCAGCAGAAGAGGGCACGTCAGGAACGGAATATAGTAAAGTATAACAAGACGGTCATGAGAGATACGTATAATAAGAATAGTTACTCGTACAGTCGGAATGAGTTACAGCCATCAGATAACCTGTCTGGGTGAAGAGGCGATACCGACATGCCAGCTAAATAACCGGTGGGGAGCGCAGCGCTGTGGGCAACTGCGGGGGAGGGCCGAGGGAGGTGCCGATGTTGTGAGACGGAGAGCGATTCGAGGGTTACAGTACGGTTCGGTAAGGGAGAAGGGATCGGCGGATGAGAGAGGAAGGGACACCGGCCATCTTCACTGACACGCGATTACACCATCTTCACCCTAGGTCCTCGCGCGGAAAAGTGTCTCGGCATTCAAACAACCATGCCCAGCTCAGGGGGCGTTACAGCGGCTTTGTAGCGGCCGAGTGTAACAGCCAAAATAGAGCATAGGGGTCTAACCTTGTTTTACTAATCAAGTGAACAATAATCTAGTAGAAAACCCCGGGCCAAGCTGACCATGTGGACGCGATCAAGGCCCCTGATCCGTGTACCCGATAAGTCCCGCCTTGTTTGTTACACGTTTGTTCTTTTGTTTATCATTGTTACCTTTGGTTTTGCACCCTTTGTCTTTTCCCCGGGTAAACCCTTTTTCCTGATGTATGTACATACCTCCTTGATGTCATCTATCTTGTTGGTTCCTATGTTCAATTCGTTATCCACTTTCTACTGACGTTACCTACGTTTATATACTCTGTTGCAATAAACCTTACCTTCGGCACATACCTACACTCTTTCCACCTCCTAACGCACAACTCTGGCGTCCTTGAGTCTGCCTGTGAGGAATGTTGGACGTTCCATGCTCAGATCCTCAAGCTAATCCTCAGATCGTAAAGAAGAGGAGGCTATCCCAATCCAATATCGCTTAGTCCCCTACTGGCCCATCTGTAACGGACGCTACACGAGGACGTCAAGGATAGCACACGCCAAGGTAAGGAAACGCTGAGAAGAGGACCTGGCGGAGGTAGATCTGAACAGAACCGTCAACATCTCTCGATACGCATCCATACCGAGGAGAAGAAGGCATGTAGAGTAGGAATATAGTGCAATGTACGAGGTTGCAAGGGAAAAGCGTATAATATTCGTTAATGGTACAGGAAGGATAGGTTACATCTGTAGAATAACCTGTCTGGGTGGAGAGGCGATGTCAACGTGCCAGCTAGTAAACCGGTGGGGAGCGCAGCGCTGGGGGCAACTGCAGAGTAGGACCGAGGGTGGTTGCCGATGTAGCTAGGAGACGGGCGATACGGACGTTACGTTACGGTACAGTGAGGGGGAAGGGATCGGCAGCAGAGGGAGAAAAGGACACCGGCCAGCATCAC